TATTACTTTATGTCCCCCAGATGAATGCAATCTTTTTATGTCTATCCCTCTCTTTCTGACTCATTTCGCTTAGCATGATACTTTCCATGTAGTACCACTTGTATGCAAATTTCATGACTTCATCTTTTCTAACAGCTACATAGTACTCCATTGTGTAGATGTACCAAAGTTTCTTTAACCAGTCATCTGTTCTTTGGCACTCAGGTTTTTCCAGATTCTGGCTATTGTAAAGAGTGCTGCAATGAACAAACAAGTGCAGATGTCACTTCGACTATACTTTTTTGCCTCTGTGGTATATATTCCCAGGAGTGGTATTGCTGGGTCAAATGGGAGCTCAATTTCTAATTTTTTGAGAATTGTCCATATTGTTTTCCAAAAGTGCTGAGCCAGTGGGCATTCCCACCAGCAGTGAAGGAGGGTCCCTTTCTTGCCACATCCTCACCAGCACTGGTTGCTTTTGTTCTTTTGGATGTGGGCCAGTCTCTGAGGTGTGAGATGGTATCTCATTGTTGTTTTGATCTGCATCTCCCTGATGATTAATGATGTAGAGCATTTTCTCATGTGCCTTTTTGCCATTTGGATTTCTTCTTTGAGGAAGTTTCTGTTCATTTCATTGCCCCATTTTTTGATGGGGTTGGATGATAAACTTTCCTCTTAACACAGCTTTTGCTGTGTTACATAAGTTTTTGTCACTTGTATCCTCATTTTCATTTGTTTCCAGGATCTTTTGATTTCCTCTTTGATTTCCTTTCTAAGACACTCATTGTCCAATAGTGAGCTGTTTAATTTCCAGGTGTTTGATTTAGTTTTCTGTTTGTGTGTGTGATTTACTTCCAATTTCAGTGCATTGTGGTCTGAGAAGATTGTTGATACAATTTCTATCTTCTTAGTTTTATGGAGCTATGTTTTGTGACTCAGCATGTGGTATATCTTAGAGAATGTCCCATGCACACTTGTGAAGAATGTGTATTCAGCTTTTTGAAGATGAAGTGTCCTGTATATATCTCCTAAGTTCCTTTTTTTCATTTTCCCCCTCAGATGAAGTATTTCCTTGCTAAGCTTGAGTCCGGTTGATCTATTAAGAGGTGATAAAGTGGTGTTGAAGTCTTCAATTAGTATAGTGTTGCTATCAATGTCTTTCTCCAAGTCTTTGAGTAGTTGTTTTAAGTACTTCTCTGGTCCCTCATTAAGTGCATATACATTTAGTATTGTAAGTTCTTCCTGTTGTACAGATCCCTTGATCAATAAGAAATGACCTTTACTGTCTCTTGTGACCTTCTTCAGTTTGAAATATTGTAGTCTGATACTAGGATGGCTACCCCAGCTTTTTTATGGGAGTTTTTTCCTGTAGTATTGTTTTCCAGCCTTTGACTTTGAGCCTGTGTTTGCTTTGACTATTGAGATGTGATTCTTGCGGGCAGCAGAATGTTGGGTTAAATTTTCTAACCCATCCTGCCAATCTGTGTCTTTTATTTGGTGTGTTTAGCCCATTGATGTTGAGAGAGATTATTGTTATGGGATTTTGTCCCATTTTTCTGTTGAAATTTGGTGTATTTTAAGGGCCTGTCTTGTCTTAAAGTAGCCCATGTAGTTGTTCTTGTAACCATGGTTTTGAGTCTATAAAGTTTCTGAGCTGTTGTTTGTCTGTGAAACTGCGTGTTCCTTATGCTATGAATGAGAGTCTTGCTGAGTTAAGTATTTTTGGTGAGGCATTTATTTCGTTGAGTTTTTTCACTATATCCCACCACTGTTTTCAAGCCGTGAGGGTTTCATCAGACAAATTGACTGTGAATCTTAAGGATACTCCTTTATAGGCAATTTCTTTCTTTGATCTTGCTGCTTTTAGAATTTTGTCTCTATCTAAGGTTTTGGTCATTTGATCAGGATGTGTCTTGGGGTATTTTTATTTGGATTTCTTCTAGCTGGTACCCTTTGGGCCTCCTAAATGTGGTTGCATGTTTTCTTCATCTCTGGGAATGCCGTAGCAATGATGTCTTTGACAGTTTATTTTTCATCAGGTTTTTCTTCCTGTCCCTTTGGGACTCCAATAATTCTTATGTTACTCTTCTTGGCTTCATCACGATCTTCTCGTTCCATCTGTTCCTGGATTCTGAGTCTCTTTTCCATTTTCTGCTCTTTTCTGGAGAGTCTCTGTAACAGCAGCTGTTACTCTGCTGCTGAAGCCTTCCACTGAGTTTTTCAATTCGCCTACCAGGTTTTTCAGGTCTGACATTTCTGTTTGTAATTTTGTTTGCATTTTCCTCATCTCTCCCTTCAAATCCTCTTGTCTTTTATTGGCATTGCTTTCCATTGTTTCTTTTAGCTTCCTAAGCATCCTCAGTAGTTCTCTTCTAAATTCCCTGTCAGAGAGGTTTTCTAGCACTTCATTACTGTTGGGGTCTTCTGGGCTAGCCTCTTCAGTAAGTAAGCTTGGTGGGCTTCTGCGTTGCTTTACCATTGTGACCTGTGTGGTTTAGCCCTTCACGTTCACTGTTACTATTCTGCTTATGATGCAGTATTAATTGAGGTGGGCTTAATGAATTATTGGCTAATGTGTTTCTGGTGGTTTAGCTAACCTAGTGAAAGTTCCATCTAAGAGGGTAACTTATGGTTCCTATGGGATATGTAGGGGGAGAATAACTTGCAGCCGCATTAGTGGCTGTGACTCCGGGAAGGAGCCCTGCCGCTGAGTGGGTACCTGGGTGAGGTGAACAGAGGGTGCCCTGAACGGTTCGCCTTTGGTTGTGTGCAGTGTGCCTCAATTCCCATCCCCTGCAGATCAAAGATGAAAACCAGCCTCTCTCTAGTTAGATGTGCAGCACCGGAAAGGAGCCCTGCCGCCGGGTGTGTACCTGGGTGAGGTTAGCCCAGCCCAGCTTTTTTGACGGAGTTGTTTGCTTGCAGGATTGTTGACCATCCTTTGATTTTGAGTCTGTGTTTGCTCTGACCTTTCAGATGTGTTTCTTGTAGGCCTCAGAATGTTGGTTTCAGTTTCTGAATCCATTTTGCCATTCTGTGTTTCTTAATTGGCGCATTTAGACCATTGACATTGAGATAGATTCTTGTCATGGGGTTTTGTGCCATCTTTCTGTAGGGGTTTGTTTTGCTTGCAGGTGTCTTTCTTGTCTTACAGGAGCCCCTTTAGTCCTTCTTTTAAGTTTGGTTTTGAGTCTATGAATTTCCTGAGCTGTTGTTTATCTACAAAGTGGTGAATTGTTCCTTTGAATTTGAGTGAGAGTTTAGCCGCATAAAGCATTCTTGGTGAAGTTCATTTCATTGAGTTTTTTTCACTATGTCCCACCATTGTCTTCGGGCTTAGAGGGTTTCTTCTGAAAGGTCTGCTATAAAAAGGGTGCTCCTTTGTGTGTGATTTTCTTCTTTGACCTTGCTGCTTGCAGTATTGTATCTCTATACCTGGCATCCATCATTCTGACTATGATATGCTTTGGAGTGTTTTTTAGGGTCTTTTATCGCTGGCACCCTTCTGGTTCCTTGGATCTGGATGCCTACATTCTCTAATTCTGGGAATTTTTCAGCAATGATTTCTTTAACTGTGGCTTTTTCATTGGTGTTCCCTCCCTGTCCTCCTGGTACTTTGATGATTCTAATGTTGTTCCTCTTGGTGTCACCCCCAAAGTCTCTGATTTGCCTTAGAGCTATTTTGAGGTCTTTTCCCATTGTTATTGCCTGTATGATTCCTGCAGTTCATCTTTCAGCTCACTGATTCTGTCTTCATCTGTAGCCATTCTACTGTTGAGGGCACCCACTGAGTTTTTTATTTCACCTAATGAAACTTTTATTAGTATTAGTGACACTTCTGATTGCAGCTTTCTTATTTCTGCTCTCATTTCTTCCTGTATTTTGTTGGCTGTCCGTTCCACTGTTTCTTCAATGCCCTCCTTTAATTTACTGGATGTCTGCTCCATTGTTTCTTTGAATTCCTTGAACATCCTCAGCATTTCATCTCAGAATTCTTTATCGGAGAGATCATATTTGTGAGTAACCCCTGTTGAGGTTTCTGAACTCTTTTCTTCATCCTCTCCTCATAGTGGGAATTTGTGCTGTTTCTTCATGTTGTTGTGGTTGTATGGAGATGAAACCATCCAGTTCACTAGCACCACTCCCTCTTATTGCGGCAAATGATTCTGGATGGGCTCGGTCAATGGTTGTCACCTTTTTTCCATTTTAGGATACGTACTTCCTCTAAGGCATCTTTCTGAGACTTACCATAAGCATCTGGTAAAGCTTTGGACGATGCATTTTTTATGTTGGGCTTGTACAGCTTCTTGTGTACACTGGTCTTTTGGTGAAATTGGAGTAGGCCAGTGGACTATTGTCCTATTGTGTTTGAGGTGGCCAGTACATTTTGCACAGAATTAGGTGATGAAGGTTGGGATGTGAGTCCAGATTGTTGGGGAAAGGGAATATACCGCCAGCTACACATAAGCCGACGCCCACTTCTACGAAGGTCACGCCCCTACAGTGTAAGCCACAACCCCAACCACTCCCAGATGCTAGTCCCCTGTCCTATAAAGCTGCCCTGAGGCAGGAGGAGACTAACCTATAGAGAAGACCAGCAGCATAGCGACCGCAGTTTTCTTTTTTAAAACAAAACCTCAAACCTACACACACATTTCTTCACATACTCAAGCCTTCTACACATTACTTTATGTTCATTCTAATCTGTTCCTCAAAACCACTTTCACTTCAACAGGATTCCTTTTCTTTTTTCCACTAATGGTATCTCCATCCATGATCCCTTTTACTTAAAATATACACTTATATTTCCTTCTTATAATCAGATCTCACAGGTTTTAACCTTCTTATTTACTGAACTTAATATTGCTTGATTTACCAAGAAATTTGGAGAGTTACTAATCATTACCTCATTTACCTCTGCAGTATTCTTTCAAAAGTATTACATCATTCCTATAGATATTCAAAAGGTTTACAATGTTCACAATTAAAGATCTTATAACATATACCTACTTAGCAAAAATTTACTTTACATTAGAAACTTTATCTTTAGAATTCCAATTTCTAGGGAAACACATAAAAAATTAAAGCAGTCACAGACAACGGGATAGTCGTTTTTCATTGGGCATCACCCACAGTTGCTAGGGTGGTGCAGGGCGTTGCACTTCACTCATGCACTTCCCAGTTTTCAGAAACTTAAAGCCAAGGAGGCTGCCTGTAGCAGCTTGAGTTTTAAAAGTGCCTCTTCTTTTTTTCAGTATAAGAAAGCTGGTCTGGAGCCTCAGCAAGAAAGGCCAATATCTTTAATTTTTATCAAGGCTCAAATCTGTGGTTTCAGTAGCTCTTGAAATTTAGCTAACCAACAATCTCAGAAATCAAATTAAAACACTGATAGGGTATGAATTTTGGATCCAATTCTATAACTTTAGAAACCCACATTTTAACACATTTTCTTTAAACTTATTTTCATGTACCACATTAATTTCAACTCACATTCTAATAATCCAGTGCAAATACAGATATACATCAAAATACCAGAATAAGAAAACTATCATCAACTTTATGAGACATAGGAAAATCTTCTTTGGCTTAATTTTGAAGTTTTTAATTATCTCAAATCATAAGATTTTTACACCAGATACTTTAACAATTTTATAATTCAAATATTCTTTCAGACACAGAAAGAGGCTATTGGTATTCACCAAACTTTTAAATAGCAGCGTTAGTTGGACTGTCAATGTTTATGAAAGCATGAGAAAATTTTGTTTTGAAATAGCCTATTTTTTAAAATCTCTTCACTGTGTCACAAAGCTCTTGTTTTTAACCAGGCAGGAGTATCTCAACCAGTTCTTGCCAGATCAGGATGTTAGGGGTCTGGTCCAGGTGTCCTCCTGGTCTTGGAAAGAAAATTTTACCTTTTACTTTTCAGAATGGTCCCCACATCAAAAGTACCTTCTGCTAGCCAGCTAACATTGAAGACTGGCCATTCTGCAGAACACAGAGTTATCAGTTTACCTTTCTTCACCTCTACGGAGAGGTTGCTGCCCTTGAATCTGAAATTGCTGAAATAGTCACAAGGGGAAGTGGAGCTGACTGATTCTGACCCATGACTAGATGGTGAATTAGGGGGCCAAAGACAAAAAGACTCACAAGAAACAGGGCAAATGACTGAACAAGAATATGACACTCAGACAATGGACATACAACGGCTGTAAAAGACTTCCTGACAATGTGCGCTCCAGATTCAGAGTCAGATTCTGAATCAGGATAAAAGTCTCTGGGCTTTTCAGGAAGGAGTAATGGGATGTCTCCCACACTACCGACCAGCGACTGACCAGGGCATCTGCCTACGTCCTCTGCCGGTCTTCCAGATTGGGCCCTTCCATGCCAGTTTTCTATGGAAGAAAGATCTGGCTCAGTCTGGTTTTCCGAAACCGGCAAAACTCCAGTTTTCTGAAACTGGCAAAACTTGGCCAATTCAGTCTGGTTTTCCAAAACTGGCAAAACTTGTGTAAAGTTCCTGTATCGCATGTGGAGGGAACTCAACCACTAGGGCTTCCCAGCCAATGTTATGCCTGAGTTTCAGATCCCTACTCGCGGAAAGACCAAGTCCACACATGATAATGCAAAAGCAAAGGAACTTTATTATTCACCCAAGCCAGCGCTAGCTTGAGCTAGGGTCCAAGTCTCATCCAATGCAGTGGAGACTTGATAAGGACCCCAACTTCACATCACAAGCAGTTTATATAGGGTTCAGAGCTAAGAAGCAATTTATATACCAGTCTATTTTTAACATTGGCCCTATTACAATGGTAGTCAGCAATTAGGATTGGTGAGCAACAATTTCTAAGGAGGGGACAGTGACTCCTAATGACCGGCCAGACCCAACTGCCCAATTCCTTATCTAGACACATTACTCAACTGGGAGTCTACCAGAAACTGCAAGTCCTGCTCTAGAGAAACAGAAACTGAAGTCTAATTGAGACTTAATGTTAGCCGCAACTTGTCATGGCTGCTGAGGAGCCTGCTTTTGGGCCTCACAGCATGAGGTGATTGTTGTTTTGATTTGCGCTTCCCCGATGATAAGGGATGGAGAGCATATTTTCTAATACCCATTGGCCATCTGTATGTCTTCCTTGAGTAAGTTTCTTTTTGTATCTTTTCTATTTTGACTGTATCTTGTTAAATATTACAAGTGTTCAGTATCAATACTGCAAACCACAATGCTCAAAAGAGGAGAGAGAGAGAGAGAGAGAGAGAGAGAGAGAGAGAGAGAGAGAGAGAGAGAGAGAAGAAAACCACTTGCCACAGAGGCAGGAAGGGAGTTGGGGGTGGGGGATTGTTGGTAACCTAGGCATACTGATATTGGGAAATGTACACTAGTGGAGGGATGGGTATTGGAATACTGGAATACTGCACAACTTAAATCCAATGATGAACAACTTTGTAAGGGTCTATCTCAATAGTGATTCAATAAAAAAGTTTAAAAAAAAAGTTTTACAAGTGTTATATATCTTATATAATATTAACCCTTTGTCAGATAAGTAGGTGGGTGAATTCTCACAGCCTGTGTTATGTCTTTTTATTCCAGTTATTATTTGTTTTTCAATCTTTCATTATAATGTTCATAACATTCTAGATTGAAATTGGTTATATAACACATCCCTAATATTGAAATCAGTAAGCATAGAAATCAATTTTTATGTGAAAATTGTTTTATCTGATCATGGTGTTGTTGAGTCCTTGTCTAAGAATTTGTTAAGATGTTTGCTGCTAGTTGAGCCCTCTGTGTTATTGATTTTGTTTGTTGAGTTTAGTTAGTTCCTATGTTACTTTTTCATCTAATTTGGTGTGCTCCTACTGAAATGTCGTTATTGGGGAGATAGGAGGTGTGGTATGGCTGCGTATGCAGCTACACTATTTGGAGACTTCAGAGCCTGTAATTTGGGCCAATGAGACTACATGGAAGTAGTTATGGAAGATGGACATGGGTACCAGAGCTCCTGGAAGTATGGGAGGTGGGGCAGGTAGGGAGAAGCTGCTCACCTGGACTCTAAGAAGACACTAGTTCTCAGTTTGAGACCAGGATACCTAAAATCATTCACAGTTTGGTGTCTCTGCATAGAATACTTATGGAGTGGCAGAGTTGAGTCCTTGTGTGGTTACAGTGGTGGGGTGTGGGAGCAACTGCCAATATTCACACGTCTCCTAAGGTCTTCCAGTGTTTTTAGTCATGTATCCATGAATTTTAGCAGCTTTCATGGATTGCTCAGAGATTTCATTGGGATTCTGGCTATTGTTTCCTTTGTGGTCCAGAAGCTTCTTAGTTTTCTTTTTTTAGGGTTTATAATTCTCTTTTATTGGTGCTGGTGCTAGTAGTACTTATTATTTTAAAGTTATGAAGGAGTCCAGTGTAAGATCTGTCTAATACTGACCTCTAGCTGGTATTTGGTCAATGATAGAAATGTGTGTTTGTTTTACGAGAATTAGGTCAAAGTTTTTAGTTGATAGATATTGTAACATCCATTAGACATCATTATACACGAAAGTATCATTACCCATACAATCTCACAAGGAGGAGGGTGGAAATCTCTCCTCATTTTTTACTCTTTTTTACCACCATTTCTAAAAAAATGCTGTGTCAGAGGATGTTCTTCATAAATACTTTTGTATTCTGTCTCCTACTCTTTAATACATTCTCTCTTCCAAGCACTTTTATAATCACTTCCCAAAAGAGCTTAATCACATAAATATTTCAGAGGCCAACTCTCTGATAGAACACCCCTCTATCTTCTTCTTGTTCAGTAATGATTAGTCTTATTCATCTTACATAAGATTAATGGTAAAATTGTACATTTTTATAGCAGGGCATTAGAGATTTTCTAAATTTATATGCAAATATAACTGATGTTAAAGGAAAATATTAGAACATGAATAATTGAGTAGGAATACAAAAAGAATTCCATTCATGTGTGGTAAAGGAGTATTTTTATATCCATATGGATCTTCTTCCCAGGAATTCTAAAATTTTAATTTGGGTGCTAAAGCTGGAGTTAAATTTTTAACTGGATGGTAATTTGTGGGTCTGGAGACATCTCTGCAGCATGTTACCCTCTTCCAAGATTTATTTGTGAGTCTCTGGATTATGGCTGTTAATGTGCTTATGTGGTACCCAGAGGCAGTTTATGGGTGTGACTTCCAGGGAAACGGGAGGAGAGGGTTAATTTCAGACTCCATGCAAGCTTGGAGATTTCAGTCACAAGTCCCGCATACCTGGGTTTTTCAGCAGATTCATTTTCATGCATAGTGGGCACAGGATGAGCCTGTGAAGGTCAGCCGTGAGGATAGAGGTGATTGGGTTTGTGGTGGTTTGTGGTTTCCAGGGTTCTTTTGGGGCAGGCAGAGGGACACACTTGCCCACTCAGGGGCTCCCCAATGAAGTCAGCCTGGCATGTGGTGAAGGAACATCTCTGCAGTGTGTTGCTCTCTTCCGAGATTTATTTGTGAGTCACTTCTTAGTTTTATGTAGTCCAATTGATCTTTGCTTTGGCCAACAGTATTGAATCTTTGATGATGTCCCTAAATTCAATGATATGAAATCTTTAACCTATGTTTTTCTCAGTATAACTTAATTGAGATTTTAAACCAGTGATTCCACTTCTTAGTATTTACCCCCAAGGGCCCAAAATTTCTATTGCAAAAAGACAGCTGTGCTCCTATTTTGCTTGTAACACTATTCACAGTAGTTAAAGTTTGGAAACAACCCAAGTGTCCAACAGATGACTGGATAAAGAAACTATGGCACATACACACAATGAAGTCCTACATGACCATAAGAAAAGACAAAATCATGTAATTTGTTGCTGTGTGGATTTATCTGGAGGTCATCATGGTGAGAGAAGTTAATCATAAGGAGAGGAAGAGATACAGATCACTCTGTATCTATATATGATCTCCCTCATATATGGGGTATAATGAAACATATTAGGAAATTATAAAATCCCAAAGGCCAGAAAGAACTGGCCAGAGATCAGAGAACTGGTCTATAAAAATGATCTTACCACAGCAGGGGCAGAGGAAGGAAGGGGAGGAGGCATGAGGTAGGGCAGAAACCGTGATAGTGGTGAAAGGAAGTGGACATTCTGGTAGAGGGTGTGATGCTGGAATGATTTATGTATTAAATCCATAACTAACCGTTGTTTAAGTCATTAAAATGATACTATAAATTATTGTTTACAATATTGAATTCTTCCCAAAATAAGATGATTTTTTAATGAAAGCTCTCCTCAGACGTCTCCAAGATATGTTTTAGTAAGAGGAATAAATATCAGTTCACACTTTCCAAGATTACCAAAGGTTTTAATGTTATACTTTTACTTTTTAATTCAGTATGTTTTGGAAGTTTCTTTACTTTAGATGTTACAACACTGAGTGAAGTAATCCTCAAAATCAAAGCCCAAAACCAATAATCACAAGTGCCATTATTTTATACTTTCGAAGGTGAAATTCTATGCAATGTTTTAGTAGTTATGTGACTAATAGGCAATGCTGAATTAGTAAAATCTGGACAACTCCCAAAGACTCCTTTTAAAACTAGAGCAGTAACACACAAATTCTTTATCTATTCCATAAATGTCAACAATGATCTCAGAGAAGATATGGGACACCAAGAATTGGCAGCAAAGGATGTATAAGGTCCTGGAAAAACCACTCTTGCTCAGTGCCAGCCAAAATAAGGCACCAACTGATGATTCCTGCTGAAATGTGCTCAATAGTTGAAGGTTAGTAGTTTCTCAGGATATCATCTCAAGAGCCAGAGACAGTTATAAAGTCCTCAAAGAGAGTACTGGTTTTTATTTTAGTTTTTATTTGGTTCGGTGGCCAAATCTGAAGGTACTTGGAGTCTACCATTGACATTGTGCTCAGGAATCACTCCTGGAGGGGCTCAGAGAACCATGAAGTTTCAGCCATTAAACATCGGTCCACTATATACAAAGCATACATCCGTTCTACTGAGCTATCTATCTGGCCCAAGCAATGATTTTAAAACTAATTTTAAAGAGCATATCCTTCTTACAACTTAAAAAAATTGAAGTAACATTGTTTTATAATATGTAAGTTTTAGGTGTATATTATTATAAAGTAGTACCTGTATATACTGTATTAAATTTGTCATTAAACTGTAACCTTTTTATAAGCACAATCTTCTACAGAACCTCAAGTATAAATAAAATAGATAAAGCTGACTTTGCATCAGAGGAAATGTATAAGTTCCTAGATGCTAGTCTGATGCAGTTGTTGTTCCACATCTCCCCCTAGATAGTTTCCTGAATCTCTAGGGAGCCAAATGAGAAACAATTAAGTGCTCTAGGACTTCAGAATTCTCTTGTAAGTGTCAGGACCTCAGATACTCTTTCACATAGCAAGAATAGCAACTTATCCTATATAATTGCCCCCAGTATATAGAGAACTAAACATTCTTTGCACCCCATATTTATAACAATCCCTGAAATTCTTTCACTTTTACCCACAGACCTCTTCTTACAAACAAAACCCTACCACCCCAATATACCACATGGTGATTACATACCACAACTTTCCCCAAGATCCCTAGACTTGAGTCCAATGCCAACAAGTTTAATTTTAGATAAGCTCCAGGAATGAGGAACACAGTCCTCTCATGGGTCTTGTGCTTCGAAGAAAACGAGTGGTGGGACATGGGGAAGAGGTCGCAGACCACCGACTAGCTTATGTTGCTGTTCTGCTTGAGGTAATTCACATAGTGAGTCAGGAGAATCTTCTGGAATGAGCTGCTGTAGAAGATGCAGGATGGGATCATAGTAAGAAAGTTCGCCTTAAATAGAAAAGTCACAAATGTCTGAGATAGAAAAGCCAGAGGGTGACAACTAAAACCTATTTCCTACTCATCATCTTCCATAGTGTGTATTTTTTTTTCTCTGACTACTGAAGGTAAGTTTCTGAATCCTCTCAGCAATTAAGTCTTTCTCAGATACCAAAGCAGTCACTTGTAGGATCACCCTGGGACAATTCTAATACCCTTGCCTTGTTTTTCTAGGTGAGCACATTCTCTTTTCAAAGCAGAAGTTCATTGTGTTTTTTCTACCAAAGTTCTATTAAAATGGGATTCCAGAAAGATAGTGGAAGAGAAAAAGGGGAAGATGTGCTGTGGGTGTGTCCTGGGTGTCAGGAGTGCTGAGCTCCAGGACAAGTAGACGGTACTAGAGGAAAAGTGCTCAAGTATAAAGCGGTATTGAAGGATAGATCATAAAGTATCAGTTGTATCAAGGATGTAGGAATGGTTATTTCTCCTAATTCTTTTACAGTGGAACTACAGAACATTGTTGCTATGTGGCTGGGTATATTCTGAGATATGTTTTTTCAACGTCCCTCCCTGATGCATGGAAGAGGGCCGGAGGTTCTCTAGGAACCACAATGTACATAGACTGGTATCTGTGCTAAATATGGGGGTAGTAGAAATTTGGAGGGTCTGTAACAGAACTGAAACCAGCAGCAGCTTGGGGAGTCAGACAGTCATCATCCTCTCTCTCCACAGCCACAAATCAGTAAAGTGAGTATCAACCAGATAGACAAGGACAGTCTCCTTTACACTAAAAGACCAGCAGGTCAGTGGGACTCTCCTCCCCGAGTGAACTCAGAATGACAGGAAGAAGAAAGGTGCCCAGGAGGACTGAACATTTTTCTCTAAATAATAGACAGAGTACATTTTCCAAGTGGCCAATTTATCTGATCAAATTCAACAAATTTAAACTCTTTTGAAATTTCATTAATTTTTTCTTGCCATGAAGCAAATGGTGATCTGCAGTAAGAAAAAACCTGATCACCACCAAGCAAGGAAAAGAAAAAGAAGAACTTTTATTTGTTCTTCTACAAGTCCTCTTTGTAGAATTTTAAATTAGTGGCTGTCTGTTGTTGCAGTCATACAGTTAAAAAAAAGAAAGTAACTGACAGAATTTGGTGTCACTGGCCTATCTCCATAAATTCCAGGAAGTAGCTCATTGTTTTGGGAAGACTTAGTGCATTAGTCCATGAGTCCTTCTAGCAAGAAAAAGGGGAAGAAAAAAAAAGAAAGGAATGGAGGCAGGAAAGGGGAGAGGGAGGAGAAAGGAAAAGAGAGAGAAACCTGGGTTGCTTGCTCTTGTTCTGATGCTTGCATGCAACACTGACTGTGACTCACACCCATAATTCATGTACAGACCAGGACTGGTGAGAATCCCTTGTGATAAATGCCATCCGACCTTATTCTACGACCGATGGAATTTATTGTGAATTAGAGCAAGCATGTACTTGCTAAAAAGAGCTCTCATCCTAAGTTCATGTGCCTTGACACATGTCAGAAGTTTTAAATCACCTTAGGGAATATTTGCACACCAATGAAACCACTGAGTCTACAAGGTAAAGAGTTTTGCTTTATTTAGAGAGCAGATTGTTAGATATTTGCTAGGACAGAGGGCCAAGGAAGATAGCCATCCCTACAGGAAAGCTCTCTATGTCTGGATTTTTTCCTTCTCAAGTCACCAGGAAGCTCTTTATTCCTGAGCAGGGAGCTCAGATAGCCAGTGGTAGGACTGAGCACTCAGATTTCCTATCTTCCTTCCCGTTTTCCTGGATGCCTTTCCACTGTATTTGGCCACTCACTATCCTTGCTATGAGGAGAATGCTTGAGTATTTCAATATCACAGAAGAGCAAACTAGATCCTAATAGGACTCCAACATAGCTGTCCTACTTTGAGTCAGAAAAAAGAAACAAATATCAATTACCAAGATTTCATGAGCAAGGCATCCACAGGCTTCATCTCCAAATGTTACATAGTTCAGTGACTCTTTAACAAACTCATCAGCTGTCTTGGTTATTATGTTGGTGCTTAGATACTTTGTCATGGGTGTTGAAATGGCATATGGGGTCAGCACCTATAATGGAAAATGTTAATCAAAATTCAGGAGCAATATACTAATCCATGATATTTAAACCTGCTCTATCATCCCTTATTCTCCCAATTCTTTTCCTTCTATCATTTGAGGATACTAAATGATAATGAAGCAATGAGCAATGACAACCAAAGTTCTCCATTTCTATCTTCAAAGTGTGGCAAACATAATCTGAGTCTGCTTATGTCCTCAGTTACCTGTGTGCTGTTACTTACATCTGTCTGAAAGACAATTCTGTTTGCAATGTTCCTATCATTAACTCCTATGCTTACTAAATAAGGTGTATCTTGGGACTGGTTAAGTTATAAGCACCTGAGAGATAGGATTTTTGACTGTGGCTTTTTAAAATTCCAATAATGTGCTAAAAAAAAACTTCTTTGCAAACAGTAACAGAAAAATTAATAGACCTTCCCAGGTTTCAGAAACTATTAATCCTATCTTTCTTGGTAAGCCAGAATTTCATGGGCAATCACTGACCCTTCAACAACACTGTCACTTAGCCTGTTGTGATACTGACAACAGTCTCCTATGGTTAGGTCAAGGTCATTGCCATGACAGTCTATCACTATAGATGAATGCAGGGAGGGGGTGTAGAAAGAGGGGCATGCACCTCTTATGCCACTGCTCAAAACCCAGGGTAGTGGGATCTTTGTGGCTTTGAAAGGCAAAATGTCTCCCAAGAGAAATAACTCCTACCCATGAAGTCCTATTTTCCAGCGTTCCAGGATGAAGTTTTTTGTCACTCCTCTCCTATTATTTATATGTGAATGAGAAAGTTAAAATATATAGTCTGAGGACTTAGGAAAAATTCACCTCATCCCTGGTTCTTGGATCAGACAAGTAATTAAAGCATTATCATTCACCATAGCCAAAATCTGGAAATAGTCCAGGTGTCCACCAAAAGATGACTGGATAAAGAAACTATGCTATATATACCATACTATGTGGCTGTAAGAAAAGATGAAATTGTGCAATTTGCTGCTACAGGGATGGAGCTGGAGAGTATCACGTTGAGTGTAGTTTAGTCAGAAAGAGAGGGACAGGCACTAAACGACTACCTTAATATTTGGGATATAAAGTGACAGAGAAACAACAAATACTGAATAGGCAGCAGAAATGAAGAACTGGTTTCTAGTAGAAAGCACGCTACTGTTTGGGGGCCTTGGAGGTATTGGGACTTTGGTGGAGAAAGCTGACACTACAGTAGAGGGTATAGTAATGGAATGTTTCATGCAAGAAAACCTGTCATTTTCAATACTTCAGTTCATACTGTCTAAAATAAAAATAAAAAAAAACATCAGGTAGATTTGCAATGGAAAAACTAAAGTCAATCAGAGACCAAGAAGACCTACAAAGATTTTGCAGGCTCCAATTTGGCTAGGAAAAAAAATAAGAGTTAAAAATCCTGAATTGAGCATCCTGAGGTTCAAGAAGAGAGGGAAGAATTGATAAGGCTGGTGGGGATGCTCCATCTTTCACTCTGAGCGTGAGAGAGATGACTTTCTCAAGCAGGGCGGACTGTTTGCAGACAGACCTATAAATGGGCCAGCTGGATGATGGCCCAAAATTATGTTCTTCTAGGTCAGAAGAAGAGCAGTGATTGCTTCTTTGCTGAGAAAAAGAGCAAACAGCTGAGACAAGAACCAAAGCTTCTCCTATGCCTTTCCGCTTGCTCTGGACACAGACTAATGCTCATTACTAAGTAACAGTAATAGTCAGGGTCACCACAATCACAAGGCCACCACTGACTTTAATTTTCTATGACAAAGTAGCACTTACTAGAAAGGGCCTATACCACTCAAACTGACAAAACCTACCTAACCCTTGGAAAAACCCATTCCACAGCTGACATGATGTCAACTTCCTTCCTGGTACCTAGAGAATCAACACCTTTTCTGGCCAATGACTGACCTTTGACCGTTTCTTCTTTCATCACTAGGGCCCTGAGAGAGGACAGCAGCAAACAAAGTGACTGGGATCACACTTAAACCAGGATGGTCACAGGGACTTGTGGTGTCATCCAACAGCTGGCCATTACCCAGTCTTCATGGGAGCCCAGTTTCTGTATCCAGCGCTCAGTAATGTCGACCTTACCTGAACAATGATTCCTTTTGCTTTATATTCCACCTGCAGTGCCTTGGAAAATGTGCACACAAAAGCCTGGAGCAAAGAGAAAAGCCTAAGAACCTAGAAATTGCTTTTTCTGTCAGAGCCAACTGACTCGGACTCTAGACTTCGTTTCTTGGTCTGTGAAGATGACCAGTGGGAATACACACATTTATGGGTCAATACTTAAACTGAGTACCACTGCATACAGATGTATCAGCCCAAGGAAGCTCTTCTTGTCTGAACACCTGCTCTTTCTCGGGTTTATTTTGATAAACAGGGCCCTGAGACACCTGGCGAGGCCTCCCGGACTGGACGCTATAATGTTCTTTGGCAGCAGGAAAAAGTTGATGTTCCCCCAGAGGGACATGGCACTGGCCTTGCCCTGCTCCTGCGGTGCATGACCAGCAGGGGGTGTGCTCCCCTCAGCTGCAGACTATCTTTGCCTGGAACCTAGAAGCCTGCTTCTCCAGGCCTGTCTACCAGCGCCCCAGATGGTCCAAAGGAACTTTCTACAGTGAAAGCTTTGAAGAAAGATATTTGGGTTGCACATTATCACTCACCTTGGAAGCCGAGTACATGGAATACAGAGGCCAGGGAAAGAGGGCCACCCCAGAAGAAATGTTCAGGATGAGCCCTTTCTGCCTGAAAATAAAGAAGCAAGCTGGGCAGTGTTGCTGCCTCCTGGCAGCCAGGGGAGGAAGCGAAGAAAGGGACTCTTTTGATCACTGGAAAATGTCTCTTTCCTGCAGACCGCCACAAGCACAGGACTCTACTGCCCAGAGCTGGGAAAGAAAGTCAGAGACCTCTGACCATTTTCAATCACATGTCCCAGCTGAAGTCAGGGACATGTGACTGGAAATGGTGGCACTGCTATAACAAAGAACCCCATCAGCAAAATACAGTTTCCCAACTCACTGGGAGGAAGAAGCTCAGGGACCCTCCTCATTCATGACAGGACAGATGTCATATACAGACTAGTTTCTTGAAACAATCCATAATGTACTTAACATACCCACACAAGCTTCTGGAGTCCTGACGTTTGAAATTTAATATCCTTCATCCTTCCTAATTAGCCGGGTTCAATCCATAATAACAAAGAAACTGTAAATTAGAATATGAGGCCAAGCCCCTTCTTCTAGGGAAAAAAAACTATAATCCACTCACATTTAATGAATACCACCTGCAGAAAATCCAGCTCCCAAGAGGATATGGCAACAGGGTGATAAAAACATGGAATAAAGACAGACACTGATAGGGTGGTAAATTTTTGCTAATAAATTGCAGTATTCATTCTGACAAGAGTTGAAATTCATAATAACATAGGGATAGCCTTAGTCACAGGCCAAATTCTGAAATTTCTTTTATGTTCAACATGAGTCATTTTTTTTCTTAAATGCAATATGTGATGATACCAGTTCAATTTTACCCTGTAGCCTATGTTGACCTTCAAGTATGCTTATCTGCTTGCAAAGTAAATGAGCCACAGAATACAATGTTCTCTTCCATAATCTTCATGTCCTTTTCTCATTGTTTTAACTCCCCCAAAGTAGCAACTAGATTAACCCTTTCCCCCACTCCCTCTTCACTCCTGCTAACCGCCAGAGCAGGAAACCATACTGTTTTATGCTTTTTTTTTCAAAGAAAGAACTTACCTTGATTCCATGTTTTTCAGAATTAGCTCTGTCATCTATAAGAAAGGGTCAAAGGTAAGCCTTTTCAAAGGAACTAAGTAGCAGTGGACAGGGGGGTTTAGTAAGAAGAATCATAATAATCTAATCACAGATTATGGCCTGGAAAATCTGTTGACATTTATTGCAGATAATTCTAGTAACATGGAGTCTGACTGGGGCCCAAATGAGGCAACCTAGATAAACTGTGTGAAGGTCTCCAGTTTCTTCCCCATAAAGTTAATGTCTCCAAAAAAGTCATAAAACATTGAGGAAAGTTATTTATAATCCTAGAACTAACACTGAGGTTCTGCAGCTACTCCCGATTCTAGGTTATTGTAGTCACAAGTAGTGTAGCCTTCAGACACTTCACACATGAGTTGGATCAGGGACCCACTGGGAAACCTAACAACTATCCCTGAGAATTTTACATGGACGACAAAGAAGGACAGCTCAGTCCAACAGCAGCCACATAAGCAGCTCACAGAGGGTCAGTCTCAGAAAGAGCTCCAGAGACAGTGTTTCTATCCATTGGCATTATAAAGCTTGGAGAAGCTCCTTCACTTCCCAATCCACAATCTTAAACAGGTCTTTCCAGTTTAATCTTTTCAGGAGACTTAGCAGACACCTGTTTAAAGGATTATGAAAGCGGCAACTCCTATGAATATCAGTGTGATTGGTTGATAGGAGAAAATCTGAGATAGAAAAGGCAGAAGAACAGGAGACTGGAAACAGAAAGATGAGCTTTGCCCATTTATACATTTCCTGGAGCCCTGTGGTAGCATCTCCATAGGGTTGTCTCTGCTCCATCCTAACAGACCCTTAGCTTATCCCAGGAATCTTCATGAAATGTTCTCACTGTTCAGAAGCAGGAGTGGGAACAAAAGAGGAAAGAACTTAAGAGTCCACTACACTGCCTTTTTGTTTATTTGGTTTTGGTTTGGGAGCCAAACCACGCAGTACTTAGGACTTACTCTTGACTCTGTGCTCAGGAACCAATCCTATTGAGCATAGGATGGGATGCCAGGGATCAAACCTGGGTTGGCTGTGCACAAGGGAGGCGTACTACCCACTGTATTATCTCTCCAGCCCCTGGAGTGCTTTCTGCAGCACTGGATTTTGAAGGAGGTGAGAGAAGAAATTGACTATTTTATCATTCTTTCCTGCATCTCCCAACTTCATTAAGGGAGTGATGGAGCACTGGAGGGCAGCAACATTTCTCGGTCTCTCTCAAAGAGATTCACTAGCTATCTAGGTAAATGTTCCAAATCCAAAATGACATTGGGCTTTGTGGCTCCCTGCCTCACAGCTCTCAATAGTTGGTGGCTTCTTGGACTTCCATTTGCCCTCAAAACTGTTCTATCCCTGTCTTCAATAGAGAATTATACTCTTTCCAGATGGCACCTTTGGAATCACTTAGTACTGTTAGTCATGTTTCCAACCAGCATGGCTAACTGGGGTGTGGAATACTTAGAAGCTAACCTTTAATTTGTTTTCTTTGTTACTTAGCAAAGTCAGTGCCTACCGATATATGATACTTTGTTTTAGTAAATCAAAGCATTTCTCTGCTAAAGGAGTCAGAGGGTTGTCCCACATATTTGGGAAACCCTGTGATCACACAGAAAAAGATCAATGAATAATATAACATCAAAGATTTTAGTGGTAAGGCTACAGACAACAGTTGGAGATATAAAATTTATAATCACATCATCTGGAGGCTTTAAAAAGCCATTGATCACTCAGCATAAAAAGAATATGCATACCCAGTAAAAATTGAACAGGAAACTATAATGCTATAAAACACTTAGTGTGCTTACAGAAAAATAACCAATAGTGAATATAATTATTGTCGACCAACTTATGGACATTTAAAATGTTTTTCTGGTCTGCTCAGCGTCCATTCTCCTCCTTAAGGTGATTATGACCTATTTTCCTCTGGGAGAATGGTCTTCCACTATTAGTTCATGTTGTTTGAGAGACAGAGTCTTACACTGTTTCCCAGCCCTATGAAATGAGAAAGAATACTTGATTCAGTGCTACAGTTCCACTGAATCTTCCAGAGTGGTCAGGAAGGTGATCATGTGCACCACTGGATTTTGGATATTGACCATGGTGCTCAGAGGTATGAGTGAGGTCAGCTAGAAGTGAAGGCTCTTGGCATTCAGAACAACATTTTGTGTTCTAATAGAAGTGTTATTTATTCCCTAAGGCATGTGATAACAGTCTGTGTCCACTCTTGAGCAGCACTTTTTTCTGAGTTCCACAAAGGCACAGACAAGATAGTTTTGTGGTACTCACACAGTGATGCCCAGGCAGTTCACTTTAACCAAAGGACCTGAGCACTAAATGTATCTGAGCCAACACTTAGCTCAATTCTCTTTAATAGAAGATTAAGTACCTGAAGTTCAAGTGGAGAATAAGTAAGTGCTCAACACTACCCAACTAAATAGTAGCTGAGCAGGAATCCAAATACATATAAACTGAAACTCCAGTTGAACAAATAATTTTACCAAAAACCTAATCCCAGAAAACCCAAGCCATACCACCCATGGTGTTCTCAAAAGAGTGTTCCTTCTTCTGTTTACTATGATTAAAATCAGAGAAAGTAATTCATTTTTTAAAAAGTTATTTTGATAACTTGAAATCTAGTTGACTAAGGTCAACTTACTCATCAACTTATAACTGTCACTGTCCCTGTCCTCCTGTTGTTCATCGATTTGCTCGAGTGGGACCAGTAACATTATAAGACTTGTTGTTACTGTGTTTAGCATATCGAATATGCCACGGGTGACTTGCCAGGCTTTACCGTGTGGGCAAGATACTCTCAGTAGCTTGCTGGGCTCTCCGAGAGGGGCAGAGGAATCGAACTTGGGTTGACCTGGTTGGCCGCATGCAAGGCAAACGCCCTACTCACTGTTCTATCACTCCAGCCCATCAAGTTATCATCAGGCTTAATATGTTGTAGTATGGAACAAAACTAAAAGCAACAATAGAATTCAGATACTAGAAGGAATGAACCCATCACTATATTTTCCTAAAACAAACAGAATGAGAGAAAAAGTTACCACTATATGCCATCTGAATTAAGTGTGGTTCAATTTCCAAGAATTCTGCTTTCACTGGGTTGAAAAAAATCTCCAAGTTGCCAAATGCCAACAATTACTACATTCTAATTCATTTAGCATATTTATGGATCACATACCTTCACAACCGAGGTGATGTTACAATGGATGAGGCTCTGCAATAAATAATTACAAACATGAATAAGCTAGATCATCTGAGAAGTTCTCTTAGGAAACAATCAGATTTAAAGAACCAGAATATATGCAAAAGTGCTTGCTCAGCTTGCAAACTAGACTCCTAATAGTGTTCAGTGAGCAGATTTCATTAAGCAATGGAGCTGTAAAACATCGGAGTAAGTGGTCAAATTCCAGTTGGTGGAAGAGAGGCTAGCGTTTCTGGGTCTAGACAGCAAAAACACAGAGAATAGACTAACCAACTTTGTGTAGATTAACATTAAAGTTCTGGGTTACCGATGGCAATAAAAGAAACAGTTAAAAAGAGGCAAAGAAGTTAAAAGGAACTGACATGAAACAAATACAAACATAGACATGAAAAGTAAAACAGAGGCCAGGACTGGAGCCATAGTACAGCAAGTCCAATGCTGAGCTGAGAACGGGTTCACTTCTGGTAGTTCATCACCCTCACAGAAGCAGATGCCTTATATCTAAGAATGGGACATCCAAACCCACTTGTCTATTAGAATTCCCCTCATAAATAAGCTAGATCATCTGAGAAGTTCTCTTAGGAAACAATTAGCTGGATTCAGCATCTTGTCTTGGATCCTCTTCCATCAATCCTGACCACCTGAGGAAAGGAATCTGACTTGTTTTAACATGGTTTTTGAGAGCTGGTTCCCCTCTCCTGCTTTGAACTTCCCAGGGTTTCCTCCCAAAATATGGAGGGAGTGGGCTGGTCTTGCTTGTCCACTGACCTGATGGGCACACCCCTGCATACCCTTGGGCACATATGGCAAGGGGCTTGAGGTGGGACTCACAAGAAGCCTTGTTTAAAGTTGGGTATGACTCAGCAAAGTGGATTTTTTACTTAAGAAATGTTGAAAGAAAAGGTATAACTTGAGATGTGTGATCAAGAAGAGAGTCAGACAAGTACTTTGAGTAACTTCAAGTAACCGGGCATTATATGCTAATACAGCTGCCTTAAAGGCTTAACTGCAACCCCTAGGAGGAATGGTGGTAGAATTGAGTAATGGAAGCTTGATAATCTGTTCAGAATTGTTATAACTTCATAACTTCAAAGGTCAGGGCTTCAGGAAATGTCAATTAGTAGTGCTTTTAAATGCTTGACAAATTCCTTCATGACCCTCAATGGCAGCTGTGGGTCTGAATCAAGCTCACTGAATTTACAGAGTCTGTACTCTGAACTCTCCCCACACTGAAAACTGAATAGATCTTACAACATGGCCATAGAGTAAAAGACAGAGAAGTAGCATGCCTTGTATGAAGGGTCCCCCTGTCTGTTGGAATCTGATTGCATAAACTAAACCAGTTGCCGTAGGGAGCAGCCCCCCTCCCCTCGACCCAGCACGGCCATCAAGCACCAGAAGCTGTGTCTCCTCAAAATGAAAAACTTTCACCCACTTACAAACACAGCCATGAACTGTTACGTGGAATTACCCCACCTTATAAAACAAAGAACAAAAGAAGCCCCAAAAGCTCAAAAGAGGTCCCCAAAGACTGGAACCCTGTTATGTGGAGAAGGGAGAGATATCCTTATTTTAGAGTTAATCATGGAAAATGGTACCTTTGACCATGTTTTATACTCTAGGGTGAAAACACATCCCACTATAGACCATCTGAGCTATAGAATTCAGGGCAGATAAGCTCCTGTTACCCATTTCATTCCAGATAAAAGGAATCCAACTCAGAAAGCACAAACTTACCTGGATTTCCCCAGATGTTTCCAGGAAATAGCTTGGGAGAAGGTTTGGAAGCATTCCAACATTGTTGACTAAGATAAAAAGGCGGGGGGGGGGGGGAATGGGGGAGTAGGAGAAAAAAGCTGTCAGAAGAACCAGTGCTATTAAATGTTTATTGAGAGCTTTAAAAATATTTATATTCAGACCAGGAATTCTCCTTTGGAGAAGTCTTCCTAAGGAAACAATTACAAATAAGTTCATCTGCGAGGTTATTCATTGAAATAGGATTTAAAACACTGAGGAAATTGTAAAGAAAAAAACTGTTTTCCATTGAAGGACAACACAATCGTATGGTGGAACACAATGCAGTCATTCAAAACTTTGAAGCTTTTAGAAGTTTAAAGACATGGGAGAGAGATGCTTTTGGAACTCACTCCAGAGTAAGTCATCTGGGATACCCCAGAGAATTGTGGGTGAGCCCAGCACCCTCCTAAACAGAGCCCCAGCAACCAAAACCCTCCACACTCCACAATCACTATCAAACTCTCTGTTCAGGATGAGCCTCATCCAGAAATTACTCTGTAGAAAAACTCTGGTATGCACATTTCATGACTGAAATCTCCAGACTTTCAGAGTCAAGATCTTCTAAGAAGCCTCAACAGTCACATCCACGAACCACCTCTGGCACCAAGTAAGTTCATGGCTTAACTGGCCATGATCCAGAGACTCAGAAATAAATCTTGAAAGAGATCAACAGGGGCCAGAGCTATAGTACAGCGGGTAGGGCATTTGCCTTGCATGAGACCAACCCGGGTTCAATCCCCGGCATTCCACATGGTTCCTTGAGCACCTCCAGGAGTGATTCTGAGTGCAGAGCCATGAATAATCCCTGAGCACCACCAATATGACCCAAAAAGAAAGAGAGAGAAAGAGAGAGAGAGAGAGAGAGAGAGAGAGAGAGAGAGAGAGATCAACAAGTTGCAGAGATAATTTCAGGCTGAGTTGTCTGGGGCACCCAAAGTCACCATCCAGTTAATAAAAATTTAACTACAGCTGTATCTCTCCATTTAAAATTTTGGAATTTCTGGAGCATCTCAAACTCTACATCACTAATAAACCAGGTGCAGCATACCATATTAGATAGGATGTAAGGTAAAAAGCAACAAATCTCGATTAACTAAATACAAACACACAAGACTTAACCTGTAACAACATGTTAGTAATCTCTTACATAAAGGATATGTATACATAAAGGCCAGTAGCTCCATGGTGAGATATAACAATCTTCACACATTTTCTCCTAAGGAAATAATTTTTAATCATTTTATCTAATAATTTATAGCAAGCAATATCCAATAAATTATTCAGGAATTGCTATAGGGATAGGCTTGAGGGGTGGTAGGGAAAATTGGAAATAATGGTGGTAGGAAGGTGCATTGGTGATGGGATTGGTGTTATAATACTTATTATAACAAATCATCATGAACAACTTTAAAAAAACATGCAGTTTTTTAAAAAAGACATGGGAGAATATTTGTGAGGCCAGAAACATTTCAAAAAATGTTTGAACTAGTATTCAGGTATAACTCTGCTTTAGAATGTATGTTTGCTCGGAAAGGTATATATCAAAATGATATCAAAGAGTTTTGATATTTTAAGAACTTTATAATTCTTTTGGACTAGAGCGATAGCACAGCAGTAGGGCGTTTGCCTTGGGCACAGCCAGCCCGGCCGAGCCGGGTTCGATTTCTCTGCCCTTCTCAGAGAGCCCAGCAAGCTAGAGAGAATCTCGCCTGCACGGCAAAACCTGGCAAGCTACCCGTGATGTACTCAATATGCCAAACACAGTAACAACAAATTTCACGGTGGAGACGTTACTGGGCCTGCTCGAGTAAATCAATGAATAATGGGAGGAACTTGACCATGACTGATAATTCTTTAATGTGTTTATATGTGCTCTCCTGAGTTTCTACAGAAATAAGTTTTATATATATTTTGAGGGGAGGGGCTTCCTCGCCAGGGCCCCTCATGGTCATCCTCCACCAACAGAACACATGGTTCAAAGTGAGGAGTGGAGGATTTGATGCTGAGGGGACAGCACTCAGGGTGGTGGCCTAGTAAGCAACCAGCAAGCACTATGCATGGCCTGAACAGAGTCAGGGAACCTCCTGGATACAGAGCCAGGAACAGCCCCTGAGCACTGATGGGTGTGGTCCATCTCCATAAAGAGTCAGTATTGGGGCCAGGAGATAATATTGGATCCCTAGCACTAAGGACTAGGGCAGCACCACAGTTTCAGGCTGTAGTAGTGAGCCACCACCCTTCCCGAGCAACCAAGCACCACAGGGAGTGGCTCTGGGGTCCCCTGAATACTGTTTGCCATGACCCCCTATAAAATAATTAAACTAAAATGTTGTTATTTTAAAAATTCATCAGGAAGTTTATAAATCAAATCTTACTTTCAATTAAACACTATACTATTTATGTAATTGTAAAATAACTTTTTTATAGATCATAGGAAAAGGCATTATATTACTTTGTGTAAAGTCAAAAAAGGACGGCAACAGCGGTGGCATGGCGGTCTATGTCTCCCACCGACCACCTTCGGTAGTCTCACGCCACTTCTCCCACCATGGGGAGGTCGATGGTAATGGGCAGGCAAGGGAAGGAATGAGGGCTGGGCTGGTTGGTCTTAGTTGCAGTTTATTCCAATCCTCTCTCCATCCACTCCTGTCTCTCTCCCCTACCTCCTCTCCTGCTTTTTCCTCCCCCATGCTACTTCATTCTCCTCCTCGATCCCCCTTCATTCACCTTCTTGCTCTGGAATCTGGATACTGATCCCCTAGCCCACTCTCCCAGTCTAATTAAATCCCAAATCATGAGGGGTTGGGGTAACAATTACACATAGGTGTGGTCACAAACAATAGGGGTAGAATTCTTTCCCTCAGGGAAAGCCACTTCTAGGACAGATTCTCATTATCAGATCGAGCCACCCTAGAGCGGAATCCCCTGGGTGTGTTTCTCCTCTCCTTGTCCAACAAACATATAAGCATACATAATATAAATAATTTTGTATGGATACAGTAAGAAATACCTTAAGCTTATAAAATTGCTCTCCTAAGGTCATCCCAATGTCAGACTCAGGCCAGATGGTCTTTCCTTTCCCTAGCAGGGTCCTAGTCTCATCATTACTTTTGGATCATGACAGCATTTGTCTATGATCAAGCTCTTAACTTATAGTTAAGAATTGTGGCACTTTGGCCTGGCCCATTTCAATGCCAGGGTAGCTCACCACGTGCCCTGGGTCCATTCAGTTCCACGTCGGAACTCTGCTTTGGGGGTGTTAGGAACCAAGGGCAACTGAGGCTTACGTCAAGAAAGCAGATGCCCTGGAGTGAATAATATTCAGAGCCAATTAAATCCTAAGTTACAAAACATAATATTAACGGTCTTCCCGTATCTATACAATAAAGGACATTGCTTTAAAGTAGACTATTCAAAAGACATAAGGAGAGGAGAAAGACAATATTTCACTCATACATATAAAACCATAGATTTCTGAGGAATCTGACCTTACAAGTTAACAGAGTCTGACTAGGGGAAAAAGCTGATTAACTGGTTGGGGAAGAGAGCAGAGAGAAGAGGTTACAGATAAACAAAGGAATGGGAGTGACTCGGGAGCACTGTGATGGGTGTAACCTGATAAACCTAAGCTCCCGTAACAAGGGAGAAAGGACAAAGCAATGTTATCCTACATTACTTCACAACAATATTTTTTCCCTTGCTAAAATAATTGCTAGCCAACCTTTCTAAGATTCATTCTTCCTGCCAAGCATCATTCAGGAATATAAAATTTATCTTAATAGGACTGTAGCACTGTCCTCCTGTTGTTCTTAGTTTTGCTCGAGCGGGCACCAGCAACATCTCCATTGTGAGACCTGTTGTTATTGTTTTTGGCATATCAAATACACCATGAGGAGCTTGCCAGGCTCTGCCATGCAGGCAGGATACTATGGGTAGCTTGCCGGGCTCTCCGAGAGGAACGAAGGAATTCAACCAGGTTCGGCTGCATGCAAGGTAAATGCCCTAATTTATCTTAATATTTGAAAATATTATGGGAAAGCCTAAATATGTGAATTATATTCCAAAATGGTACATAGATTTGTTAAATCAATAATGACTTTTAAAGACTTGATATTTAATAACTTATAGTCATGAATAAGTCACCACAAATAATCAAATCTCACTAAGTAATTCTCTTACTATTTCAAGAAGCTTTGTGTTTTGCAATTTACTTACCTAAAATTCCAATTTCTAAGCCTTTAAGCTTTTCCTTAATATTCTCATAGATGTCATCTTTGGTGAAATCTGCCTGTATAATCCTCACACTTCTCCCTGTAGTCCGTTCTGTTAGGGAGAAAGACAATAGTGACTCGTTAGTAACAGGTGGACACCAAGTCCACCTTTTATCCACAGAGTTCCCAGAACTTTCCACTTTCAAGAGGTCAGAACTGTCAAAACCCAACAAGGAGCAAAAAGTAGCCTCAGGTAAATGCAGAACAAACCTGAAAAAGGTCTGTGTTCCAAGAGTTCCTCCAGGAATACGTGTATTAAAAGAGATTTGCATTAAAAGAGATTTCCACTGGAGAGATTCTCAGAGTGAGGTCCCTAAACCATGATATCACCACTGAGAACCTTTTTAGAAACATAACTTCTTGGGCTCCACTCCCACCTCCCTCAAACCACAAACCCTAGTGTAGGATGACATTGCTTTGTCCTTTCTCCCTGGCGAAAAGGAGCTCCCAAAGTGCTCCCAAAACACTCCCATTCTTTTGTTTATCTGTAAGCACGTCTCTATACTCTCTTCCCCAACCAGTTAATCAGTTTATTCCCCTAATCAGTTTCTGTTAATTTGTAAGGTCAAATCTTTCTAGAACACTGAACTTGTATTGTAAGTTAATATTGCTTTTCTCCTCTCCTTATATCTTTGGAATAGTTTACTTTAAGGCAATGTCCTTTTGTATAGATACAAGAAGACAATTAATATTATGCTTTTGTAACTTGGGATTTAATTGACTTCGAATATTATTCATTCCCAGGCATCTGCTTTCTTGACTTCAGCCTTAGTTTCTCTCTGTTCCTAACACCCCAAAAGCACGATCCTGATGAGGGACTGAATGTACCAAAGGCAAGCTGTGAGCTACCCTGGCTTCAAAATGGGCCAGGCCAAAGCACCACGATTCTTAACTATAAATTAAGAGCTTGATCATGGACAAAGACTGTCATGAACCAAAAGTAATGACAAGACTAGGACCCTGCTAGGGATAGGAAAGACTAATCTGGCCTGAGCACCATAGTCTGAGATTGAGATGACCCCAGGAAAGCAATTCTATAAACTTAATGCATCTCTTACTGTGTCCATACAAAATTATTAATATTATGAATGTTTATTTCTTTGTTGAACAAGGAAAGGAGAAACACACCCATGGGATTCCACCCCTGGATGGGTTGTCCTGCTGAAAGAGAATCTGTCCTAGAAGCAGCATTCCCTGAGGGAAAGAACTTTAACCCTATTGATTGTGACCACACCTATCTGTAAGATCCAAACCCTCATGCTTTGGGGATTTATGGAGGCTTTAAGAGTGGGCTGCAGGTCCATATTGGGTCCAGGAGAGAAGGAGAGAGAGACAGGAGTGAACAGGGATGAGATTGGAATAAACAGCTATTGAGACCAACCAGCCTGGCTCTCATCCCTTCCTTTGCCAGCCAACAGCCGTCCCGATCCAGTTCATACACAGTTCTATGTCCTTCCATCTACATCAATTTCTTCTTTCTTCTGAACTAGATGCAAACTACCTCTACATTCTGTACAAGACTTTTTTTTTATTAATGAAACACCATGAGGTACAGTTGTAGACTTACAAGTTGTTGTGCTTGGGTTTCAGTTATGCAATGATCGAGTACCCATCCCACCACCGGTGCCCATTCTCCACCCCCACCAATCCCAGTATCCCTCCCACCTTCCCCAACCCTCATCCCACCCTGCCTCTGTGTCAGGGCACTCCCTTTTGTTCTATCTCTCCTTTTGGGTGCTGTGGTCTGCAGAAGAGACATTGGTGGCAATCATGTTTGGTCCATAGATTACTTTCAGCAGGCATCTCCCATCCTGGGCAGATCTTCCCAGCACCCTTTATTTGGTGCTCCCTTTTCTATCTGAGCTGCCTTTATTCCTGGAGTGTGCGGCTGACCTCTAAGCCATGGAGTGAACAACCTGGTATTTATCACAGCTGTTCTTGGGTGTTAGTCTCTTATTTTGTTACTTTATGTTAACCAGATGAATGCAATCTTTCTATGTCTGGACAGGACTCTTTTGATTTGTTTCCCTCCCTGGCGTGCTCAAGTTTTCCTTGAATCTCAAGGTTTATTTATTTTGTTTTACTTTTTTTTCATAATTTTATTTATTTATTTTCTTATATTTATTTATTGAATCGCTGTGGGAAAAGTTACAAAGCTTTCAGGTTTAAGTCTTGATCATACAATGATCAAACACCTTTCACTTCACCAGTACTCATTTTTCACCACCAAGAACCCAATATACCCTCCCACCCACCCCTCCCAATGCCTGTGAGGAAGATAATTTCTACTTAACTCTTCTCTACATTGATTACATTCATTATTTCTACAAAAGGTGCACCATTATTGTTTAGAATTCCCCCCCCAACAATCAGAATTGCTGAGAAGGCATTGCAAAATGCTTTGTTTTCTATAGCTGGTTATGAGAATCATATAATGATTTTGGATTTCTTCAAAGAGCCAGATAATTAGGAGATTGGTTTCTGTGTGTCTGGTGTTATGGCTGTGCCGAAGAGCCACTCGTGGGGGGCAACTCATTACCTCGGTAGGGCGTGAAGGAGGAGCCGGTACCGTCCCCCTTCCTATGAGACTGCAGTTGCCCCGTCACAGCCAGCTCACACCTGGCTTTCCTATAAGCTCTGAGGTGGCGGCCACCTTGCTGCTGGGGGGGAAAGGTGGAAGGGAGCAATCCCAGGCAGGCATGGCGCCATAGTTTAACACATGGAGCATTCACTTTTCTGCCACAAGCTGCCGGGCTCTGGACTAAGTCCTTTTGCCTCTGGAGCCATGGCCGTGCTGGAGAGCCACTCATGGGGGACAACTTGTGACCTCGGTAGGGCATAAAGAACGAGCCGGTACCATCCCCCTTCCCATGAGACTGCAGTGGCCCCATTACTGCCGGCTCATACCTGGCTTTCCAACAAGCTCTGAGGCGGTGACCACCTTGTATGAGGTCCAGATGCATTTCTGCCAAATGCCACTGGGTTTCGAGATTTGTTTCTGAGCCTCTGGGATCATGGCCATTAATCAGCTTGATCAGGAGCAAGAGAGGCCGTAGTAGGCGGAGACTCGGGGTCTTATTGGGATGGGGAGGAAAGAGCCGGGTCCACCCCCATCTGGTGAGGCCCCATGTGTCTAGTCACTAAAGGCCCAAACCTGACTGTCCAATGGCCTCTGGATGATGGCAGTCACCGGGCCGCCACAGGGAATAGGCCAAGGCACAAAACCTATTCCCACCTGGAGTGGCCCAGCACCAGTAACCTACTGCAGGAACAGAACGCATTTCTGCCAAAAGCTTTTGGGTTCCGAGATTCGTTTCTGAGTTTCTGGGATCATGGCCATTAAGCAGTTTGATCAGGAACCAGATAGGCCGTGCCTCCAATTATATAGCTGAGCCGGAGGTGGTTTGTGGGTGTGTCTCCCACATACTTAACTTTTGGCCATTTATTTTCTTGGTAAACTTTGCCCCAAGTTTTTGGGGTCTGACCAAAGGTACAGCAGCAGTTTTGGGGTATCTGAAAGTCTGACGGAGCCATCAGGCTGCTAATGCACTCACCTCACAGGTATAGATTGACCTGCTGGCGGCACCATACCCCCATGAATCTCAAGTTTTCCTCTTTACACAACCCACTTTGTTTTCACCTTTTTTTTTTTTTGGTCGGAGAGCCCAGCAAGCTACCGAGAGTATTCGATATGCCAGACACAGTAACAGCAAAGTCTCCAATGGAGACGTTACTGGGCCCGCTCGAGCAAATCGACGATCAACGGGAGGGCCTTTACCTTTTTTATGCATCCTCCAGTGACCTCCCAATACTAAGTCGAATTGCCTAAAAAGCGTGTTTCTTAAGATTAAATCCATGGAACAATATTTGCTTACAAACTTGATGGATAACTTGAGGATACAGATTCATTGATTCAAAATTATTGTTCCCATAGAGCCCGGCAAGCTACCGAGAGTATTCGATATGCCAAACACAGTAACAACAAAGTCTCCAATGGAGACGTTACTGGACCCACTCAAGCAAATCGACGATCAACGGGAGGGCCTTTACCTTACCTTTACCTTATACATTTCTTTTGCAGGGTGTCAGGGAAAGGAGATACTGGAAATCAAATCATCCACGGAAATTATCCATGTGAAGTATATTATTAACCCTGAACTACAGCTCTACAGACTTTATTTTGAAATTTTTATTGAGAGTTTATTATTGACAATACTACTAGTGATGACTTCTCCTGAACATAATTCTAAATTTATTGTTCCCATTAAGCTTTTAGGGAAACCCTGTGCCATTACAAAGCCTGTTCCTTTGTGTAGAACCTATTCTTTTCCCTTCTGGAAATTTTAAGAATCTTTATTGTTTTGTTTTTGTTTATGCTCAATACGGGTCACTTCCAATGCCCTCAGATGTTTTGACTGGAAGTGAAGGACAGATTAATGGTTAGAGCTGGGGGCCATTAGCACCACTAGTGTTAGGGGGTCAGAATATGGTGTCAGGTGGGGATCAAACTCTGGGTCTTTGAGAGGCATTGGCCCTATGACTTAAGCTCCCTGCCTGCCCAAAATCTTTACTTTATTCTTAGTGTAACTTTCACCCCTTTCCTGAACTAGATGATGGTTTTGCTATTTCAAGTTCCAGATTTACTCTGCTTTCAACATACAAACTTGTGACCTGCTCATGATGAAGCAGGGTTCCTGCTCAAGAACTTTGTTCTCTCAGTCTAAAATAAAAAAATTTCCCCATTCATATCATTTTGAGGTAATTTAGAAGGGAACAAAGAAAAAATTTTAAATCTTTACAAATTATCAATCTGCTAGGAACTAGTCTCTTACAACCCAATAGTAAAGTGACAGATTTTTATATGGGCAAAGGATTTGAATAGACATTTCTCAGAGATATACCAGTAGTCAATGGTTGATGCATGAAAAGATGCTTAACCTTATAGATTTGCATTTCCCCAATTACAAAAGTCACAATGAGATATACCTCGAATTCCCTAGAAAGTGATATGTAATTTATATAACATAGTTGGCAAGGATGGGGGAGAATTGCCCAACATAGTGCTTTAGTTTTTTTTTGTCTTTTTGGGTCACACCCAGCGATGCACAGGGGATACTGCTGGCTCTGCACTCAGAAATTACTCTGGCAGTGCTCAGGGGACCATATAGGACGCTGGGAATTGAACCCGGGTTGACCGTGTGCAAGGCAAACACCCTACCCTCTGTGTTATAGCTCCAGCTCCGCACATTGTGTTTTAGGTACCACTGGGATTCAGTTGGTGAGCAAAACCAGACCCAGTCCCTTTGCTTATGCAGTTTTCAGCTATGGTGGTGAAATGACACCAATCCAGTAAGTGCTCGAATATTACATTCCAGCTGTGGTAAGTGCTGCAAAGGAAAGCACCATGCTTCTATAAGAGAGTCCACCAGTGTTTTGTGAGAACTGAGAAGACATTCTGAGAAATGACCTTCAAACTGAGAGGTGAAGTTTGGGAGTGATGAAGGCATGGGAGAAGAGCATAATCCCCATGGTGGTCTTCATTTGATTCTATCAGGTCATGGAATTATTTTATTCAAAGGAAACATAGGATCCTATTCTTTCTTTGTAAAAGTACCTTGGGCTTCTGAGTTCAAAAAAAATGGTGAAGGACAAGCAACAGTGAGAAGAATCTTTTAGTGTGGTCCAGCGAGAAAGCCAAAGGATGGGCAGAAGCTTGTGATGAGGATAGAAGGAAATGATATTTAGGTGGTAAGAGTTACTGGGCGTCTGCAATAAATCGAAATGAGGTTTAGGGAAATGTCCAGACTTTGTTGGCACCATTTGGGGAAATATGTGGCAGTATTGTTCGGGTGGGTGGAAAAAGCAGGAGTTTGGTCCTTGAGGTGTATGTGAGTTAGTCTTTGAGCCTTAGGAGTAGAAGTGCCATGGACAGAGGGGCAGCTGGCTGTCGTGTTCAACTGTGACCACAAAGTGGATGGCAGATAATTACTTGAATATCTTGAGCCTACTGACTGTTGGCATTTGTTTCCTCTGTATCTCTCACAAGGACAAGGTATGTAGAAAGTTAGGAGCAGATAGAGACCTCGACAAAAATCTACTTTCCTCAAATGAAATCAGTCAAGACTGTGATATAAAATCTGACTGGTTTCTGAGAAGCAGATAATTGATGGTGTAGCTAAAGAAACAAGCAGGGAGCAAATCACCACTTCAGGGTAGATCACTCTGATAAAAATTAATATAAATGTCATCTCCTTTGTTTATAGAGTGTACAACCTTCTCAACTACACACAACAAGCTTGAACCAAAAATCTTTTTACTAGACAACCACCTCCAAACCATATCCCTCATCCTACTTCCAGGACCAAGACCCCTGGCTATGTACAGATCTACATTTTGAAGGAGTAGCAAAAGAAATGGGCATATAGGACCTCTACATGAGGAGAGGCAATTTTAGAGAGTAAGCTAACAAGCCAAAGAAATAATGGGCCAAATTTTATGGTTGTGTATTTCACCTAACCCAAAGAATCACCGGTGAGTTAAATTCTACATCTTTTTGTAAATTTCCATTAATCAGCAAGAGGACTCTTCCCCCAGTTTGGGGTGGGGGGAGGCAGGGGATGTTGGATGTCGGGTGTTGTTCCTACAGACAGGACAGCAGCACAGCTGGCTAGTAAGCTCCAAAACCAACTCCCTGTTCCCTGGGGCCACTCACCAATTTGTCCAGCAATAACCTGTAGTTTTTCCAGTGTCCGGCTAATAAGCACCACGTTGAGTCCTTGTCTTGCTAACTGGAATAGACAGAGAGAAGGATAGGGGAATGACAAATGTGATCATCACATACAAAAACTTCATTTTATTTCATTTTTTAATTATTATTTTTGTTAGATGCCATCCATTCCTTTTTTTAAATGCCACATATGAGAGATTATTTAGCAATAATCCTTCTTTCTGTTTTATTTCACTTAACATAATACCCCACTGCTCCTTCCAAATTGTAACAGAAGGCAAAGTTTTATATTTTCTTTTTTTTAATTAATTTTTTATTAAAACCACCGTGATTTACGAAGTTCTCCTTTATACAGTTGTTTCAATCATTTAGTGTTTCAACACCACCAGTGTGACCTTCCCTCCACCAATATCCCCAGTTTCCCTCCCAGCCACATCCTGCCCCTTTAAGCACAATATCACAAATTACTTTATAGTGCTTATTCCAGAAAAACTTTAAGAAATGATAAAAAGAATGATCAGAAACTAAATCAGTAAGAGCCAACTTGTGATTACTATATGATTTTGATCTATGCAAATAAGAAAACGTAAAACCATTTCATATAATATAACGAAATGCCTACCTCATATACATATACGTTTTCAACTCTGGACTCTAAAGCATATAACATTAAATTGTATTTTATGCTTGGATTTTATACTTGGATTTCATCATGGTAATAATCATGTCTCACCTGTCATTAATAAAACTTTTAAAGCAATTATATATTAATATATTTCGGGATTTACATGGAATAGGTAAAACCTACATATGTAAATTTTCCCCATATACTTTATTTACACACTGCAGGCACAAAACTTTATGTAATTGAGTTTTCAGTTAAAAGCTCAATTATATAAAGCTGGAAACTTTTTTCTTCTTTCCATAATTGTGAATTCCAATCTCCATCAGAGATCATGAAAATGTATTCTCTGCAATGATATTATAGAAAAAACAATTTACCTAGTTTGGACATCTAAGAATTTCTTGAACTGCCCAAACAACTAAATCTTGTAAAAGTATATTCATTCTTTTTTTTTAATTGAAACACCATGAGATACAGTTACAAAGCTTTCATGTTTGAGTTTCAGTCATACAATGATCAAACACCCATCCCTCCACCAGTGTACATTTTCCACCACCAATGGTCCCAGTATCTCCCCCCCCCCACTTCCAAACCCTCCCCCTGCTTCTATGGCAGACAATTTACCCATTATTCTCTCTCTACTTTTGGGCATTATGGTTTGTAATATAGATACTGAGAGGTTATCACGTTTGGTCCTTTCAGGACACATCTCCCATCCTGAACGATTCCTCCATTATTGACTTAGTGATCCCTTCTCTATCTCAGCTGCCTTCTCCCCAGATTTTGAGGCAGGCTTTCAACCATAGAACAATATTCCTGGACCTTGTGTCTACTGTCCTTGGGTGTCAGTCTCATATTATATTATATTCCACAAATGAGTGCAGTCATTCTATATCTGTACCTTCTTTTCTGACTCATTTCACTAAGCATGATAATCTCCATGACCATCCACTTTAGGTAAATTTCATAACTTCATCTTTCCTAATGCATAGTATTCCATTGTGTAGATGTACCAAAGTTTCTTTAACCAGTCACCTGTTCTAGAGCTCTTGGGTTGTTTCCAGAATTTGGCTATTGTGAACTGTGCTGCAATGAACATATAGGTGCAGATGTCATTTCTATTATGCTTTTTGCATCCTCGGTATATATTTCCAGAAGTGGTATTGCAGGGTCATATGGAAGCTCAATTTCTAGTTTTTGAAGGAATACCCATAATGTTTCCAAAAAAGCTGGACCAGTTGGCATTCCCACCAACAGCGAAGGAACGTCCCCTTTTCCCCACATCCACGCCAACATTGGTTGCTTTTGTTCTTTTGGATGTGTGTCAGTTTCTGTGGTGTGAGATGATATCTCATTGTTGTTTTGATTTGCATCTCCCTGATGATTAGCGATGTGGAGCATTTTTTCATGTGCCTTTCGCCATTTGTATTTCATTTTTGAGGAAGCTCCTGTTCATTTCTTCTCCTCATTTTTTGATGGGGTTGGAGTTTTTTTTACTTGTACAATTCTACCAGTGTCTTGTATATCCTGAATATTAATCCCTTATCACATGAGTATTAGGTAAATATTCTTTCCCATTCCTTGTGCTCACTCTGTATTTTGGTCACTGTTTCTTTTGAGGTGCAGAAGCTTATTAGTTTAATGTAGTTCCATTTGTTTATGTTTGTTTCCATATGCTGTGGTGTTGTTTTATATTTTCTTATAATAGAGTAGGAATCCTCTGTGTGTATGAACCACAAATTCTTTGTTTACTTATATGCCATTATACATTTGGGTCATTTACAAATCTTCACTATTACAAATTGTGCTACTCTCAAAGATCATGGTTATCCATACATCTTTTTGAGATAATGATTTCCATGGTAAAAATACCAATGAGTAAAATTGCTGGATACTTTTAAATGTTTTTTTAAATCTCCAAATTATTTTATATAGGGCCTGGAAAATATAACATTCCCACCAACAATGAATAAGTGTTCCTTTTTTTGCCATATCCTCACCAGCACTAGTTGTTTTCAATATTTTTGGATATATACCATGCTTACTAATACAGAATAATATCTCATTCTTATCTTGATTTTCATTTCCCTGGTAATAAGTGATGATAAATCTAATTTTGCAAACCTTTTGGCCATCTGTATGACTTCTCTCAGGTACTATCTGTTCAGTTCCTCTTCTCATTTTAAAAATAGAATTGTTTATTATTTACTATTGAGTTATATGTAGCACTGTAGCACTGTCCTCCCCTTGTTCATCTATTTGCTCGAGCAGGCACCAATAACATCTCCATTGTGAGACTTGTTGTTACTGTTTTTGGCATATCAAATATGCCACGGGGAGCTTGCCAGGCTCTGAAGTGCGGGTGGGATACTCTCAGTAGCTTGCCGGGCTCTCCGAGAGAGACGGTTGAATTGAACCTGGGTCGGCTGCATGCAAGGCAAATGCCCTACCCGCTGTGATATCTTTCTAGCCCATTGAGTTATATGTCTTGGATATTAACCCTTGATCAGATGTATAGTGTACAAATATTTTCTCACATTTAGTCGAGTGTCTTTATTTTAATAGTCATTTATTTCACAATAGAGACTTTTAAAACTGATTCAATCCCATTTGTTTATTATTTTTCCCCTTTTTCCAGTGGAGTCAAATCGCTGAAGACAGCTATGAAGTCAATATACTGAGAGTTCTGCCTGTGCTTTCCTAATTTTGGCGATTCCAGTCTAATATCAAGGTCCTTAATCTATTTTAAAATTAACCTTTGTGTATGGTGTGACAATTTTGTGCCTCCACTTCATGCACCCAGCTTCTTTGATATGTTTTTATTTTATTTTACTCACCATGATTTACAATACTGTTAGTGTTAGTGCTTCATGAATACAGTTATACTCCAAAACCTTCCACCAGATATTCCAGGTTTCTCCCAGATCCCCATCCCACCCCTCCCATCTCCCACCATGTTAAGCTCAGTTCTGAGATCACTTATTTTTTTAAATTTAATTTTATCTTTATAAAGTTGTTCACAATATTTGATTACTTTTAATATTTGAACACCAATCCCACCACCATTACACCTTCCCACCACCATATTTCAAATGTTTTCATCCCAAACCCCAAACTCTGCCCCAGTTTGCCAGGCTCTGAAGTGCAGGCAAAGCATAACTGAAGTAATTTATTTTGTATTGCTTGTTATGAATAATCTGCTAAAAATGATCCTAGAGGAAAGTGTATGAAGATTGTTGCATCTCACCCAGGTGCCATTAAGCCCTTCTATAAGAGATTACCAACATGTTGTTATGTTGTTAAAGGTTGAGCCTTGTGTGCATATATATATATATACATATATATATATATATATATATATATATAGTGTAAGGTATGAAATGTCGCAGAGCCACAAATGTGGCCACGCAGACCAGAAATAGATTCACTCTATTGGGTGACTGGGTGAGGCTCATTGGAGCATGTGGAGAGCAGCTGTGAACATAGCAGTGATTGAGTTCTGGAGGTTTTTGGCCGCTGGGGCAGGCACGGGACCTCACCTGCTCCACTCCAGGTTGCCCTGGAGAAATAGCCTGGTCTGGAGACATCTCTGTGGTGTCTGAGATCAGTTCTAAAGTTCTGTTGCTTTAGGCGATTTTTTATTCCCGTACTCTACTTTTGAATATCCCACATTTAAGAGATTGTTCTGGATCTGTCCCTAACCTTCCAGTTGACTTCATTCAGCATAAAACTTGCCAGCTCCATCCATGTATAGTCAAATTGCATTATTTCCCTCTTCTTAACACTGATCAGTATTGCGTTGTGTATGTATGCCTCCATTTCTTATACTGTCATCTGTTCTTAGATGTTGTTAAGTTGTTTCCAGTTTTTATGTTTTGTGAATAAAGCTACAAAAATGAACACAGGAGTGTGATATAATTTCTGTTTTCATGACTTTTACAAACACTTGTTTTGGGTCCCAACACATAGTCTGTTCTGTGGAATGTAAGATGTATTCTGTAGTAGGATGTTTATTTGACTTTTCAGGAATGGAGACCCTGTACTTGTTTCTTAATCCCAATTCTTTCAATTCTTCTTTTAGGAATCTTATTTCTTTACTTTTTTTTGTATGATTTATTTGTCCAGTGATGAGGGGGTATGTTAAAGTCTCCTGCTCCTATTGTGTTGCCATAATCATATTATCATCATGCCTATCAGTAGCTTCTTTAATAACACTTCTGCTCCTTTTCTTGAATTATACATGTTGATATGAAAACTTATATTCTTATCTTATATTCATTATTTTATGTTGATATGAATATTTCCAAAGACAGGGTTGGAAAGTTATGGTCCACAAAACTAGGCTTCCCTGGCATGGATTGGCATGGGGAGGTTTGAGGGAGGGTCTCTGGGACATTGGTGGAGGGAAGTAGACTTCTGGTGGCAGGCGTGGTGTG